TAACTTTTTTGTTGTAATATCAGCTCAGACAACCCAAAGTCTGTTATCTTTGCCACGCCGGCGTGAATCAATACATTATATGAAGACTAAACAGTAATAAATTGTCAATGATTATTATAGAAGATTCCGAGCATACGACATTGTTCTGCGCATCTATGATTACCAGATCCTTGTGTATAATACCATGTCCGTGAAGATGCTTCAGACCATTAGCGATATTGATACCGAGTTTGCATCTCGCAGGCCAATCCAGTTCAACAGACGAGTCCGATAAGTAAGATCGTAACGAACCGCCGTCGGCGTATTTGAAGACCATTACATATCTATTAATCGTATCTAGTAATTAAGTCTCTGTGTTAATATCTATCATCATGAGTGACCCCGTAACGATGCCTCAACGCTTACCTTTACTGATTCCAAAGAATCGAATGATATTGGAATGGTCATCAACTTTGCGATGAATCTTGAGCTAAAAATATCGTTTGCATGGTTTAAGTAAAGCAATAAAACCCAATATAAGCCGTCACTGTATTACCAACCTCTTTGACAAAGTTTTCAATTATCTCATCTTCATTCTGTGAATTCAAAAGTTTGTATGCGACCATTCTATCAAGTGACTTCATTTTGGCTTTGAAAACTATTCCATATGCTCCGCCACCGATGCACAAGTGGTCAATAAAGTCATCGAAAGGATAAAACCGAATGCTTCCATCTTCAATACTTTTTAGTAACCATTCTTTATCAGACTGATTTAAGGCCATGTTTGTTGCTGCTATTACGATGAGACGGGACGGCAAAATAGCAAGCTTTGTTAGATCGCTTTGGCATAATATCATTGGTTAATTTGCATACCTCCTTAAATATATCACCTGATTCTAATACAGTAATACAGGCAGCCAAATTATGTCTATCGCTATCCTAAAGTGTTTCTCATAAGGTTACGGATAAGTCAGTGAAACTCGATAAGTCGGACACTCGATAGTCGGATTCGGCTTGAATCTCCCGGCCCCTTTTTTTCATACTTAAATTTTCTCGATAATAATAAGTCGGACGACATATATAAATTCTCGTTAAGCTGTGAGTCGGACAACCTCTCCGGACATATAAGTTGGATCACGTGACTAAACAAAGATCTACAGAAGATTTTTACTATTTTAGTAGATATTGTTCAATAACAAATTATCGCGGCGGTGAAAAGGTGACCATTTTTTCTTTTCCATTTGATATACAGTATGTTGGTGTAAAGACGTTTCGATTCCTAGCTCAATGCAGTTAGACATATACAAGCTTATTATGGTATAATATACAAATATGGTACCTCCCCTACTCATTAGTAAATTTGATTTCTGTATTAAGTTAGGTTCGTATGTCATGTCAATCGAGTCAAATGATAAGGAAATTTGTATGTGAAAGTTTCGAAAGTACAGTTGACGCTGCCTATACCAGACTTGGATATACCGAACTTGGATATACCGAACCAGAATCACTAGACCCGATTTTTCCTAATCAATAAATCCGGTTATAACGCAAACTCTGGTTATAACAAACTTTGATTATACGAACTAAATTCTTCAGCCGGTCAGTTCAGTATAGGCAACGTCAACTGTAACTATAATTAAATTGGACTTGGTCTATTAGAGGATAGGACAATAGATACAAATGGAATTGTAAAAGCGATTACAAATCTATAGTTGTAAAGCGCACAAACCGCAGCTATCTTAATGGTTGTAGAAGCGGAATCAGACAATAGTATTGTGAAATGACTACGAATCCATACTATTTCAATATTTATGGCGCACAAACCGCAGCCATGAGTATAGCTGAATGGCGTAGTATAAAAGTGTCGAATACGATTTGGTAACGGAAAATTTCAATAGATAAAAATAGCATTATGAACGGTTACAAGGCTATATTATTAATACAAATATTCGGGGGAAAAAAATTGAAAGCAAATTGTATTGGCAGAATCGACGATAACAATAAAATGACGCCGTTCGGAAAATCAGACGATAATAATACTCATGCCGTAAATATTGTGACATAATTTTAAGTATGAGGGCGCTTGAACGCAAAGAAAGGTTCAAAATAGTATAAACGTTTATTGAGAAAAGTTTATTTTTAATCAAGTAAAATGGGATTTATGCTATGTGTTTGACTTTTAATTGCTTTTCGAAGGTGAGGGAAAAGGAAATATGTAGAGATTAATATTGATTAAAGAAAGTGTCAGATATAATTTTTGGCAGCAAAAAAATTTAATTAATTTTATTAGTATTAGCAAGATTCATAAAACAGAATTATAAACGGTTACAAGTTATATTACTAATACAAATTGAAAAAAAAAAAGATTGGAACAATTTGTATTGGCGGACGTATTATAGAGATAGACGGTAACAATAAAATGACGACGTTCGGAAAATCAGACAATGATAATACATGCAAATATTGTGAAATGATTATAAATCTTGATTTAAGTATGAGCGCATTGAACGCCAAGAAAAGTTTGAAATAACAGAAGCGTTTATTGAGACAAGGTTTATTTTGAGCAAGTAAAAGAAATAATAATAAATTCATGCTCTGTTCTGACTTTTAATTACTCTACTTTTCTTTTGAAGAAAGAAAAATAGAAATTGTTGGAGAGACGTAGCAAGTTTGGTAGAGGAAAGTTTGTTTATTTTTTGAGAAAAGCAGTTAGGCATAGATTGTTGCAATTTTCCAGAAGAGAAATGGCAAGGCATAAAAAAATTTTTTATTTAATTTATTTTTATCCTATTAATAAGAGAGAAAACCAATGACAATATATCATAAAAATATTTATAAGCACGCTTTAAAGGGTGGGACGGTGGAATCTGATACAATATAAATAAGATAATTTCCGTCGCAATAGATCTACCAAAAAAAATAATTAATAGGGTAATATGAAGTTAGTTTCATTTTGAAAAGGTAAAGTATTTTATCAAAAAAAAAAGTATGCTTAATTTACCAATAAATAGATTTGCCCCCAGAAAATTTAAATCAGGAGATAATGACAGAAATTTACTTAATGTGAATAAGTGTTCGTAGTTTACACGCAGACTATGCAAACTTGATAAATTACTGACGTAATCTCTTCCTTATTAGTCCATTGATAAACCATTCCATGTACCAACTCTTATTTTTATGCGTACCGAGAAATGCTGAATAATATTCCAACAATGGCTAGTTTTATAATTAACTCTGTAAACGTGCCAAAGTTAAATCGAAATCTATAAATAACACGCAAGCTATACCTAAATGCAGCTTGTCACTTCTCCATCGCGTAATTTATGGTAGCTATTGTCCGTCAGCAATTTCTCGAATACTCGACAGTAAAAGTTCTATATATTGCGGTACACCTCACATACTCATTATTCTAAGGTAATACTGCATAAAATTGTGGGCATGTAAGTATACTCTTATCTAGTTATGAACTAGAACGTATTCAATCATTTACAAACAAGTGCCACGTCTCTGTAATTTTAGTGAAACAAATAAAAATACGAGACGCAAAATTAGATTAATTTACTTATATACACCTAACAGTTAAATGTAAATTACTTCAAAATAAAAAGTTTTTTGAGCAAGTTCGAATATACTTATCTAACATTGATATCAGGTAATAGTAACGAGTTTGGCCGGAAAACCGTTTTGTTTTTTTTGATACATTTTACATCCACATAGTTGGATCAATTATTTCTGTCATGACTATGAATTAAATTCTATGTTATTATTATGGGGAATGAACAGAGTAGCCTTGCAGATTTCGTATCTCATCGATATAGTTCATGGAGGGAAAAAATATCTTTGCTTTCGATAAATTTAAGATAATAATAACCAATTCGTATGACTGCTGCCCGTTCACTTATCTAATTTATAATAAAACAATCAATAAAATAATCTTCAAAAGTTAATTGACATCATTGTTATCAAAACGCTTCTCTCAAATTATCCAAGACGTTGAAATATCAAGTAGAAATGCAAACGAAAGTATTGTAATTAATTACCCGCAATGACTAATAACTTAACCTTGGGATTACTCTCCCAACAAGGTGATTACCACCCTTTGTTGATATTATAAAAACATATTCGTCATGCCGTCAAAATCATTGGATTATTGTAATATGAATATGGCAGAATTGCCAAGTCGTTTGGTATGTATTGCGTGTTACAGCGCTTATTAAAATATTCAAACATATAATATTTGCATTGTTCAAGAGCATACACTATTCAGTTTCTGCCACATCATGTGTGAAAGAAAGTCCACTGTGAAATAGAAAAACGACTAGCGAAAAAGTGGTGGCGCACACATGGTTATCTTCACAAGTTCGTACAATAGAATGTATGTATGTAGTCTCAAGCAACCTCGTTATATGTAAACCGGTTCACTTGAAAAAAGACACTTTATTTAGTCAATTACGTAACAAAGTGAGACATATTGTATAATTCTATGCATTAGTAAAGTACATCATTCTACAACTTTGAACATAATACTCACATTCTAACAAAATTATCCAATTTCTCTTCTCTACTCATCTCTTCTATTCTTCTCATTCTTCATTGTGATTCTATCAATCCTCACTAATCGATGTATATAATGCGGCTATAGATGATAGGAATCAAAGAAGTTGATCTTTTCGTCCCTAATGGTAATTAAATAACGTCCATTTCTGACAATAAAATGTACTTGTTAACAACTTTACTTCTTGACAGTTTGTAGATTGAATTAACAACCTGTGATCTATTGTACGCTGCATATTCATCGAGCAACATGTAGAATTAATCGTCTCTCCACTTTCGCTGAGCTTTTGCCGCAGATCTCTTTTGTTTTTCCTCTTTCCGTCGTCTATGCTCTGCCTTTTTACTAAATATTTAAAAGTTAAACGATTATGAACAAAGACTGCTGCACTAAATGATGGCTCGAACTAAAACTCACAATTCCTCAATCTTTTGCAACTGTTCCTCACTCGGTGCTTTAGGCACTTTTGCCGCATTCACAATCGCCGCGTATAACTTATCAATACAATCCTCAATGTTCTTCAGTTGCGAACGTGTCTTATCAGAAGTGAATACGAGCTCGCCTTTCTTGTTGACATGGTTCGCTTGCTAGAAAAAGTCAACATAGCGGATGAGCAAAAGATCGATGCTACGTACGCACGTTACGATCAAAATTTTCAGACAGCATGGAATTTCTCGGATTTGCTCACCTGAACAAGAAGTTTGTTTTTTGCATATTCGGGTATCCAATATGCCTGATCAAGTACAAATCTCATATCAACTTTGGTGTTCACTGTTCAAAGCGCAAACTGAATTCAGCAAAAGGGAAGAAAAAATTGGGTTTTAGAAACAAGTCAATCAACGTACACTTATTGACATTCTGTCCTCCAGGTCCACTGCTCCTCGCAAACGTTATTGTAAGCATTTCTACAAGCAAACAAAAAACAAGAGATTGGAATAATGAAACGAGGGAATAAACGAGTAAAAATGTGCGATAACTACCTCTCGGTATTTTGTCTTTTGAGAATCGTTGTAGCCATTTTTCAGCTCTTTCCCTTTCTTCGGGAGTATCAAGACTTGATATATATTTCCTACTTATGAATATATACGGTCGATTATATCCGAGCTTGTATGAAGTCGAAGTTGCAAAGAATCTGAATACGTGCAAAACTCTATGTGATAGCATACTTTTTCTGATCGCAAATCGATTTTTCCATCCATCAACATTTTAATTTGATTCGGTTACACAAAGTCCTACACACGACTAAAAATTTTTTATCCTATTGGAGCATTCCAAAACATGTGATCAAAATTCTATCAATGCGCCGCACCAAGTATTCAACACACCAAAAGACATTGTTATAATTACAAGGCTAGGAGAAGAAGATTATGTAATGACCTTTTCGATTGTTACGATCATGTTTTCACATTTGTAGGAGACGAGTGTCTAATGCAATGTCTAGAGGAATAGATTAGTTGTCATGATTCGCAGAAAATGGAATTGGTGAAATCAACTAGCTTATCACTTTAGAAAATATCAGCGTATTTGTTACTTTTTTCAGTTTTGTGTCTGTTATTATATAGACGTATTATTATTTTAACTATAAATCTTATTGTATAAAACCATTTACAACTCTCGAAATGGAACAACGATAAAAATTAAACGATTTGCGTACGAAAATAAAGGAGCTGGTATTATTTATGCAATCTTTAGAGTGAGTATTTTAATACTTTTTGAAACATTTTTCAACATGCAGTACATAGTTGGATTCTTTTGGTACAAAACGACATAACCAAATGTGTATTGATATATTAATCTTACAATGTTATTTATTCTTAGCCTGTCTCGATCCCGGTATCGCACAATTACCGCAGGATCTTTCAACGGCTAAGCAAAAAAATTACTCTGAAATAAATTATGAGCAATCCTTCATAATGATCCTCGGGAGAACACAAATCAAATTCAGCCAAACGCACCCTAAATTATTCCTGGGGCTGGCAAATAAGTTTTTTTTTGGTATAAAGTATATGCATCTACTTCTAAACTGTCGCAGTTTTTCATGCAATCGACAATTTGTCAGTCATTTTTACAATAATTTATTTAATTATTTTATTCATTATCTTTGACTACGGAAATGAGAATGGTTAGATTAATAATATTGTAGTACTGTTGAGAATTACTCAAAATTACATGTTTATTATTGGCTGTAAATTAAAATAATAATACTTATCTTTAAACAACCTTGATATTATTACGGGAAAAGCGGCAGATGACACGGAATAACGCGACTCCATTACTTCAATTATATTGATATGTGTAAAAAACGCTATGTATGTAATTTGAAACAACAGAAAGAAAAAAAGCGATTCTACGCAAACATCCAAAAGTGATGAGGCAATGACAGCTCATTTTACAATAATAAATATTTCAGTAACAAGCCGATCTTCAATGCTTCAATTTTCACACAATTTGTGTTGTACTAAAAGTCTGCATTTTTATAAGCAAACGAACAAAATCTTCCTAAAAGCATGCTAAATTTTGTATGTTAATTTTGAAATAAACTCGATGGCATCGATGTTTTTCAAGAAAATTTGATAATAAACGATTAAAGGCAATTTGATATTATTCGACATAAAATATAATTTGAAAAGGATTATTTTCACCACCGTATAATAATAACATGTCAGATAAACACTTAATTTTAATTTTAAAGTTGTTGGTCAACCCCATAATCTCGTTCTCTCTTTTGTGAGCGTTCCTACCTAAGAAGCGGAAAAATTATTCCCTGATGTCCAAGTGCGTTGATTATGAAATTAGTTTAATGCACACGGCGGATGTAATTACGCCATTCCCAACCCTTTTTTCTATTTTACGGAAACGCTAAATTATCTCTCATTTACTCGTTATACTGGTACCATTTGTTAGTTTAACAAATTACAATAATTCGTAAAATAGAATAATGTTAAAATGACGACAATATTTATATTAATTTTATTACTAAAAATAACATTCTGGTTATGTGCACTGTAAAAAATATGCGTTGTCAAATTATAACAATTTAATAGTTATTCATATTGTCATTGTCCTATAACGATCAAATCCTGTGTAAGAATGTCATCCCACAACGTAAACAAAATTTGCGAGACGAGACCAAAGTCATACAATTATCTCGAATGTGAACACGATTATCGTTAACTATGTGTTTTTCTAAAAACTATTAGTATTTCGAAATACGACACAAAATTTTAGTGTCGTTTAACCAATGTTGTACAATTATTCATTCAGACTACATAAAAACTAATAAACAAGAGGGTCACGTCATGAGTATATAAACCAATCAAAAGGTTTACATATAAACTCGTAAATAGAAAGCTCAAATTATTGCCATGTAAAACCGATGTAAAAAGTTTACATAAGAACTCTTAAATAAACAGTGCACATTATCAGTATGTAAAACTAATATAAACCTTAAACAATATGTTAATAGTGTTACACGCAATTGATAACACAATTGAATAGCAAGCTTATGCAGTAACATTCTTACTGACACATCAATGCATTAAAGCCAAATTTGGAATCTACCCAATTAAGTGTCTACAAATTTATACTATACAAACACGTAGCATAAATGATGTCATATTCCAAATATTGAATCTAATATTGAAGCTAACGTTTCCGAATCCCCTGATTCTACACACGTAACGTACCGATTTGCTTATGACGTGAAGAACGTAAGAAAGTAAGAATATTTGTAAGCAAACACATAATAAATATCAAATAAAATACAAGAATATTAGACACGGGCAAGCACAAAGTCTACGCGTAAGCAAGCACATAATAATTAACACTTACGAATCGTGGGTAGTACGTTATAACTTGTATACTATTTATACACATTTGCATAATACACTGACAAACGGCCTCACAAACAGAAAGTAGGACTCTATAAAAGCAACCTATCAGCAGCAGCAACATGTACAGTCTATGTAGTGACGTTAACATGAAACGCTAATTAGTTGCATATTACGTAATGCACAGAACAAATTTTATTTACCCTATTTTTATCTATTACTGAGAAAAACTTTGCTTCAATAATCGATAATTACGTAAAACTTTGCATGTGTAAATTTCGATTAAATTCAAAAACCACACCAAAGACATCAATTTTTAGGTTTCCCGAATACTTGTATATAAGTTCAAGCAACAAACTTTTTATAGTCTTTTTCTTTGCAAACCAGCTAGTTATTTGTATAAACTTTGAAACTCAAAAAGACAACATGCAATTTAATAAAATAAGAAGACTTACATACTAATATATGGGTCGATTCCATAAAGCTCAAGTTACAACACTTTTGAATTTAAAGCCATACTTTGTAGCTCCTAGTATGCTATCAATATGTGTAATTGATGCTTACTCGTGCTTTATGAATAGATCGAAAGGCATATTGTTGATGCAAATATAATAATAAGAGGTGCCGTAAGGAACAAATTCATAATCAGTAATTCTACATTGCGCACAAGTAAATTTCATCAAGAGCTTACTTCTCGAAAGAAGAAAAATTCCTGAAAGCAGCACAAAAATGCGAATCGACGCTACGGTAAAATAATTTCAGCAGGTTTTTGCAACCTATTAACAAAGGAAACATAAAGATATGAAATACACATTACAGTTACGGAAAACACGCAATAGTCTTGATACTATTTATACCCAACTTGCAAACTATATTATTTTAAAATAAAGAGTACAATATTTGTTCACACTAACCGATCGATGCACGTCTAATTGTTGATTCTTCTATGTAAGAGACGGATTGGTTACAGCATGTGCCAAAGGTTAGCAATTTTACCGTAAAATTTTGCGTCTATTCATGAACCAATAAATAATATGTTGTAGTATTTGAAGTTTTGAAGGTATCGATAGATTAATTGGATCTCACACACGTTTGTATCACGTAAATCAAGATAATCATGTGTGTGATGTAACACAATAATTCGTTGAAAACTGATCTTTAGAACTTTCACTTGAGAACAAAACTATGTCGTTAGTTAACAATACTCCAATTGAAAACTTGATCAACACTAGTCAGAAGACATTAACATGGATTCCGTCCTCGGAAATCACCAACGTAAAATCAACTCAAATTGACAACGTTTACTACGCTATTCACAAAAGTGATAGTAATGAGACGATAACGCTGGTATTACTTGGAAATAGCGAAGAATGCACACCAACACTTGTGAGTGAGTTTGCCAGAATATACTCACTTCCAACACACAAGTACAATAACAATGA